CCTTTTTCCAAATTCTCTTTTGTTGTTCTTACTTCAATGTCAATAAAATAGAACCAATCTTGCCCTATGCCTGATTGTGCGCTGTCTGCTCACGTATGACAACCACGTCAGAACTAATCAACATCCAATCATCATACATATTTTCATCCTAATAATCATTCTAATCTTTTAACTAAAATAAATTCCTAATTATTTACCCAAATTAAATTTCTAAGAATATTCCAGAATCATCGTAATCATCGTAACTCTCAACTCTTAGAACAAAACTATTTGGTATTTTTAAATACCTTAATTCCTACATTTCGAATTTCTGTATTTCCAAGCTGCATTTCTATTTTCCATGGTTTTATTTTTCGCTGCATTTTCTTCCATAAGCTGATTCTCATTCAATAGAATAGAAACCTGGTATTCTAAATTTCTTCAGTCTGCACTGTCAATTTCCAAGTTTTTAAATCAGCTAATATTGCTTCCATAAGCGGATATTTATCCAATTCTGTCGCAGAAATTTAGTCTCCACCGTATTTTCCTTTGGTTGGTCCTAATATATATATTCTCCTCTTTGTCGCAGAAATTTAGTTTTCAAAATTTCTCCACCGTWTTTTCCGTTGGTTCGAATGCCTGGTCCTAATATCTATATTCTCCTCTTTGAGCATCAATGTTTTTTTCTGAATGGAAGGTGGAGTGAACAGGGGAGAGCTCCACTCCGCAGGGGAGACGCCAGGTGGGAGGTGAAGCCCGGGAGGGGGTGCGAGCAGATTTAGAGGGTTACTCTATTCTGGGGTTGGGGTGGGGGTACACATCCCAGCGGGGGCAGATTAGGGTAAAAGGTGGGCAGAGGCATACTTTGGGCGGGAACTGTATGCCTGTGTGGGATAAGGGGGGGGAATGTGGGACTGTCCCAAGTTGGGGCTGAGATGGGATGCCTGTAATCTGGGTAATCCGTTTCGGTGGATGCAGCATTGGGATAAGGTGGGAAGGAGGGGAGGGGGGAGCTTAATGCTTCAGAATTCCACAGTCTTCAATGATGTTATATCAAGCTTTTTAGTGTTCGGTAATTCTTGGCGACATCTGGCCTTCTTCCTCATTCAGGATATAGGATTTCAGAGATGGTCGAATCTGGACTGATTGCCGCAGAGTTGCTCTGTTCTATGCCCCTGGTTTGCCGATGCCAGAACGACGCTGGCCGGAGCTGGGGCGTTGCCCTGTAACCTGCAAATTGCAGGAGTGTGAGGCCTTGTAGAGAGATCTGGGTTTTGCTGAGGGAGGAAAGCAATTCAATGGCAAACTTGGGGGGGCTGCCTTGACAACCTATGGGTCCAGGGATAGTCTAGGTGGCGAGAACAGGACGACTACGGTTGACATTGGTTAGGATGACATTGTCTTTGAGATGCAATGTACTGGTACAGGGAGGGTTAGGAGTTAAGGATTAGGAAGCTAGAATTACTGATATAGCATAGTCCTCTATAATTTGACATACTAATCATCATCATCATCATCATCATCATCATCATCATCATCATCATTATCATCATCAAAAAAAAAAAAAAAAGGCTTTCTGGTGTTTTGTAGTTCTTGGCAGCATCTGGCCTGTTTCCTCATTTGGGATATAGGATTTCAGAGATGGCCGAATCTGGACTGATAGCGGCAGAGTTGCTTTGTTCTGTGCCCCTGGTTTGCCGATGCCAGAACGACGCTGGCCGGGGCTGGGGCGTTGCCCTGTAACCTGCAAATGGCAGGAGTGCGAGGCCTTGTAGAGAGTTCTGGGTTTTGCTGAGGAAGGAAGGCAATCCAGTGGCGAATTGGGGGGGGCTGCCTTGACAACCTATGGGGTCGGGGATAGTCTAGGTAGCGAGAACAGGCCAGCTGTGGTCGACGTTGGTTAGGATGGCATTGTCTGTGAAATGTAATGTCCTGGTACAGGGAGGGCTAGAAATTGTTCTAGGATTAGGAGGCCAGAATTGCTGATACAGCATAATCTTCTATAGTTTTGCATATTAGTATGATTATCTAACATTTCACATAGAATCAGCAGAAGTTCAGCATCATCATCATTACCATTATCATCATTATCATCATACGAGGGACGCTGAGCCCGGTTCTCAGCAAGTTCGTTTCGGTCACTCCAGGTAGACTGTGAGGACCCCGGCCTCAATCTTTATATTGAAAATATCAGCCTTGGGCACTGGGCCCGTTGGTTAAAAAAAAAAAAAAAAAAAAAGGTTTCGTCTGCACCATGCCTCCAAGTTCTTGTTCCTGAGCATGCTCATGTAGTCCGGCATAGTAATTCCTCTCCTCCGACTACCGGATGCGTCTGCACCACGCCTACAAGTTTCCATTCTTACGGTGCGCCGATATATTATTTGGGAGCTTTATTATGATGTGATTCCCGTATCATACCGCAAACATGTCATATTATGCGGGACAAACACACACACACACACACACACACACACACACACACACACACACACACACACACATACTATGCCATTAATGTGTGTCTCCTCACTTGGAACTGTAATCCCTATACAGTTTCTGATTTTCCAAACATTGTCCGCTGGATAGAAGAAGAGCACCGTGTTGTTTTTCTACTCGGAATTTCTCATGGCACAGTGGGAAGCCTTGGCGCGGCAGTCAGTGCGGGACGATATTTGGATTTTTGAATTTTGATGACTGCGCGGTAGCTCGTGCAAATAAATGGGGATTTTCGTCGGAATTGGGATTTTACTTAGTCCAAGTTTTAGGCTCTCTCTCTCTCTCTCTCTCTCTCTCTCTCTCTCTCTCTCTCTCTCTCTCTCTCTCTCTCTCTCTCTCTCAACTTTGCTTCCTCCTTGTGCACGCACTTCTTCACGCTCTTTTCCCTAACGCCTTAATTTTGTTTACAACTGTCACATGTTTCGTGTTCAGCTGCCTTCCTGCCTTTCTGCTTCTTTTGGTTGCGCGTCTTCCTACTTCTCTCTACTCTCATTGGCCAGTACAATGCAGTCGGGATCGATGTGTTGAGTGTGGCCAAGTCCGCACGCCGTGGTCCAGGTATGCAGCTAGTAGGTACTTCCTCTCTACCTTCTCACCTAGTCTCGTTAGTCTCGCATATGCATCTGCCGCTATAAATTTTGGAGACATAATTATATCTCTCTGTAATCTAACTTTTGGAGTTAGCACGATCGAGAGGATTGGCTAGCTGGACAGCAGGGTGTTGTAAAAGGTGAGTAGCGAAGTTGAAAAGGTATGAGGAGCTGATGACGGTCATGCGGGGTCGACGTGTCGCTGCAATGGACTGCAGGGCCCAGGCGAACCTGACTCGCGTATCCGGGTTAAGCGAGGTAACAAGTTGGCAACTCTGGGGAGTTGGTGGGTGTGGGACTACAGACTGACCGCACCGAGTTGAGGCCGGGGGGAGGGGAGCGGGGAGAGAGAGAGAGAGAGAGAGAGAGAGAGAGAGAGAGAGAGAGAGAGAGAGAGAGAGAGAGAGAGAGAGAGAGAGAGAGAGAGNGAGAGAG